AATAATAATCTAAAACTTTCAAATATCTAAAGTAAATTTACTATTCTAATTCTTAATAGAAAATCAACAATTGTGTTATTACAATCAATTTATTTTAGAGCTTCTTTATCAATAAACACCATGGCCAGTTCGTTCAACATTTTTGATAAGTGCGTTTTGCGCACTTATTTAAATCACAAAATGTAACGAATCAGGTCTCTATACTCAAGTCGTTAACTTGCGTACTGTCCGCTTTGGGTGAGCATATACCCACTTATCCCTCATGACTTTCTATCGTGTCCCCCAAGATTCGAACCCAAGACCTCCATCATATGGGAGACTTAAGTTGAATTTTGGTACCAATTAGGTTCGAATCTTAGGGGACGTGATAGAAAGCCGTGAGGGATAAGTGAGCATATGCTCACCCAAAGCGGACAGTACGCAAATTAACAGCTTGGGTATGGAGACCTGGGTCGTTACAAAAAGCGTGATAGAAATTCGTGAGGGATAAGTGGGCATATGCTCACCCAAAGCGAACAGTAAACAAACTGACGACTTAGATATAGAGACCTGGGTCGTTACAAAAGTTGTCCAATTGGTACTAGGATTCAACTTAAGTCTCTCATATGATGGAGGTCTTGGGTTCGAATATTGGGGGACGTGATAGAAAGCCCTGAGGGATAAGTGGGCATATGCTCACCCAAAGCGGATAGTATGCAACCTAACGGCTTGGGTATAGAGACCTAGGTCGTTACAAAAAAACGTGCATTTTTTGTAACGACCCGACCTCTCACCGGAGCCGTTGTCTTACGTGCTGTACGCTCTGGGATAGACTTCTACCCATTTATTCCCTCACGACTTTCTGATGCGTCCCCGGATTCGAACCCAAGACCTCAATTGGTACCAGGATTCAACTTAAGTCTCCCATATGATGGAGGTCTTGGGTTCGAATCTTGAGAGACGCGTCGAAAACCGTGAGGGGATAAGTGGGTAGAAGCCTACCCCAGATCGGACAGTACGTAAGATAACAGCTCCGGTGAGAGGCCGGGTCGTTACACAAAACATGGAAAATTGTTGATGTATATGTTGAAATATGACTTAACTCGATATAATTTGTGTTTGTAGGATTACATTGATAGATAGAATGAAGAGTTCGCAAAAGCGAGCGAAAAATGGTCAAATTGGAAAAAAATGAACCCACCAAAACTAAAAGACCCATGGAGTTTTACTATACCTTGC